GTCGGTGCGGGCGGTGGGTGTGTGGGGCTGGGACACACCCGTTCTCCGTTCAGGTCAGCCCCTCGCAGTGTCCCCTCATCCCGGGACACACAGCAAGGCCTCGTGTCATTTTCACCAGCACGTCCCTCCCCACGCGTTCACACCCCCCCAGCACTGTCTCCTCTCTTACCGGGGAATTTGACCCTCTGCTTTTGTGGTGTCCTGATCGAGAGGTCATTTGTCTGAGTGGCACTAAAAAAAAAAAAAAGTACCTTGGTGTTTAACCAGCCTTGGTTATGTAGTCAGTTTCTGTTTATCTCTTAAGGCCTGAGGAGGAACATACCTTTGGGTATCTGTGACCTCTAGAAACTGCAGCTGTGTTGGTATGCAGAATAACTTCTGCTGAGAACAGAATTCCCAGCAAATAGTGCTCTATGGCTTCTGGTCAGTCTCTGGGTAGTTCTTGTGCTCAATATCTGGACTCTCTATAGTTCATGGGCTCTGTTCTCCTTCAGGTTTCAGAGGAGTGTGTTGGACCTGTCCTTGCAATGGAGGTTTGCCAGGCTGCCCAACAATGCCAAGCTGGAGATGGTGCCAGTCTCTAACAGAGCGGGAGTGGAAACCACGGTATGTTCATTTACGCAGCGTGACCTGATTTCCTCACTTATCAGTTGTTCTGGTATGATCCCATCAGATCTAATGAGCAAGAGCATGGCATGGCATGGCCAGTGCCTGTGTAGGAGACCAGCTGCAGACTGGTTGAAGTGGAGTGGGAAGTAGTGATTTAGTAGCTGAAAGTCTTTGCTTACAGTCTGCATGAGCATGAGGTGTCAGCTGTGTGCTGGAGCAGAGGGGGATCCTTTGGGGAGCTGAAAAAATCACGGATAGCTAAGAAGTTAAACATCCCTGGCAACTAACTCAATTCTGTTTCCTAATTTCTGTTTCAGTTGCTGTTGTCTGCCTTTGGATTTTGACTAAATCTCAGATTCCCACAGAATTCTCTTCTACTGCTTTCCCAGCGTTGCTGTTCACGTTGTGTTTCCACAGCTTTAGGGCCTTTTGTGACCTGTGTTACGTTCAGCAGTGGCCAAATGTCCCTATTTAGTATGATTTGCAAAGGGCTTGTGGATGCTGTGTTCTCCAGGAATTATTGCCACGTTTAGGACATGCAAAAATCTTCTCTACATGTCACTGTAATGGATGGAGGTGTAACTTTGAAGTTGATGCTTAGATGTTAATGAGTGTGAGCTTTTTACTTTGTAAAGGTGATGTATGTTCTTATTTAAGTAGCCTGGGAATGAAAACGTGTCTATCACTGTCATCTCTCTTCTTACTGACTTCCTCATAGGGAGTGTCTCAGTTCCCTTGGAAGTTTTAGGTCTGTTGGTGCTGATCTCTTAACGCCTGTGAGCCAAGCAGTGCTAGTGGTGTCTGTTACAGGCAGTGCTTTAGCTGTCAGGGAGAGAAGTTGACACACTGATAAGAGAACTTTGTAGTGTGAGAAGGCTTTGGATCTCTACTCTAGTTCACTGTGGGTGTGCAGTGTAGTTTTGGGGGTCACTGATGTTCATGTTTTTCTCTGTAAAACCTCCATATTAGTTTTGGCACTAATGTTTTCGTTCTGACTTTGTGGTAGAAAGAAGTTTGTGCTTCAAATGACGTCTTTACTTCAAAAAATACCACACACTGGTAGCATCTGCTTAAAATTTTCAGTTAAAAAAAGGCCGTGATGGAATGGAGTTTGTCTTCCAGAGCAAAGTGTTTCTGTTGAAATGGTGCAGTTATGACTTTATCTGATATTCACATCCCATTCAGGAGGCACTGAAGGAATACAGTGACTGTTTTTTTCCCTTTAGTTATACTATGCGAAAGGGGAAGAAGGAGAGGGGTTATGGCATGGAATCACTGCTGTAGATCAGAAAAGAGCTAATAGGAGTGTAAATTGTTGCTCTTCAGTTGTAGTTCAGCAGAAGAACATTCAGAAGTGAGGCTGCCCTGGAGGTACTTGTTGCTATGTCATGGAGGTGAGAAGATGCAGTGAATGTGTGTGTGAAGAGTGGAGTGTAAACAGACTCCTATCCCACAAACTAAGAGCAGAGATTTCACTTGGGAGAGGCTCTCAGTGTTAGAACAGACTTTGTACAGAACAATTGACTAAAAGAATTCCCTGCCACAGGGAGCATGTGCCAAAGACCAGAGAGAAGACAGTCAGGTGGCTGTGACTGGGGTGTAGTGGCAGCTGAGATGCAGACTGGCTCATGCCAGCTGGCTGCAGTGATGTTGGGATGAACTCTGTGTCTTCTGTTAAGATAATGTGGGTGGAAGTAGGTGTACTTTTCCTGTGGTGCCAGTAGTCACCCCAGAGACAGAGTACAGGTTTCAATAAATCATGAGTTTGTTCAGAAAATCTGATATTTTGAAAACAGAAAGCTTTGCATGTAAAAAACCAACGTTTTTTGTAAGGCAGTTCTTTAGTGAAAAGTAGAACACATTCCCCTTGGGATGGCAGGTGGCCCAGGAGCACCGTTAGTATAGCTTTGGTGTTAAAGTTGTCAACCTTTTGTTTAAATGTTTGTAAACTTAGGAGATAACTGGCACTGGTCTCTATTATTTTATACAGTGCCTGGGCTTTTAAAGAGAATTTTCTAATTGACTGAATAGGACTTTCGTGACATGTTTAGCTTTGAACTGTTGCCCAGAAACTGATGCAACTGGTAGTCTGAATTTCTGGGCTGGATTCTTACAGAATGGTGATGTCAGCTGTCATCACCCTGCCGTAGCTGAGAATAATCTAAGGCTTGTCTCCCACGTAGGAGAAACCAGGAGGTTGTGTTAGTGGTGGGATGAAATGACATTGTTCTGTCGGCTCATTGTTGGTGATGCCACTGTTTCCTTTATGGAGAAAAATTCCTGTCTCCAGCAGATCAGCATTTGCAGTCCTGTGAGGACTGGTGGGAGCCGAGGCAGATGACAAACATATTCCTCCATGGAAATCACAGTAGATTGCTGGAGCCTGTGGTGTCTCTTTTCCCATCTCTCCCTCCAGCCCTTGTGCTCACAGACACATCTGCACTGTGGGTGTTGGTAGGGACATGTGAAAACACAGAATGAAAGTCAGTGCCTTTGCATGTCCTGGGCTAATGTCCTTCTTGGGCTTTGGAATAAGGCCAGTAGCTGTGGTCTTCAGAAAGCCATAGCTGACTGGAGAGATCAGGTGCTATGTTTGTTTTGTGATCTTTCTTTAGGCAGGTGAACTAATTGGGAAAACGAGTTAGGCATTCTGGAGAAGGCTGAATATTCTCTAAAGGTAAAGGTAACACCTGAAGTGCTCTGCCATTCTCTGTTGCTTGGTCAGCTGCTGCACTTTCCCCCTGGCACAGGAGTCTGAAGTTGTTCAGGGCTGACCTCAGTGTGTGTTCATTTTAGAAATACCTTGGATTTATTTCTTGGGGAGAGAGGTGGGGAAGCAATTCCCTGAGTATATGTAGCACCTGCTAATGAATGTGGCTGTTCACATTCCAGGTTGGAAAATGCCTGTTAGAATAGGCAGCTACCTGGCCCTTGCCATTTTCTGCAGGTGTTCAAGAACTTGATAACTGAACATCCTGAATTATTCTAGAGATTTTTTTTTTTTTTTTTTGCTACTTGAAACTTATATTGTATGTCAACATTTGGTGGTTAGGAAGCATTAGTCAGTTGCAAGTTACAAATGTTTCTTTGGGACTGGTAACAGTTGTTTAGGTGTTCAGTAACTCGGGATGATACAGACTGTGCGCTGTTTGTTTCGCCCCAGGGAAGCTGTTGTGCAAACTGATGCCCAAGTGGACAAAGCTCTGTGTTGGTGTTTCAGGTTGTGCAGCTGCATCAGTCCTGTCTGGGTTATTGGTGTTTGTTCTGTGTAGCTGTGCAGGCCCTTGCTGTAAAGCTGCATGTGGTGTAAAACAGAACATCTCAGTTGCTCATGACAAGACATTATTTGGGATATTGGCATTGGCTTTTCTCTGATGTGTTCCAGTTCAAGCTGTGGCAGGGAAGAGAGGCCTGTGACAGCTGGCTGATGTTCCAGGATGGCCTCCCCCATGCCAGTGAGCAGGAATTCAGGCCAAATATCTGCACAGGAGAGCAGAAATATTTTTAAAAGTGATGAAGAAAAAGAAGTTTTCATTCAGTTTTCAGCTGAATTCAGTGTGGTTTTCCCACAGGTTCGGATAGCATTACAGCTAGATGATGGCTCCCGTTTGCAGGACACTTTCCTCTGCCAACAGACCTTGTGGGAACTTCTCAACCATTTTGCAAAGATCAGGTGAGCAGTGCAGTGGGAAAATACTTGTCTGGGTGGATCTCTGCATGGCAGTATGGTGATCCATTAAATCCTGCAGATTTGTGGAGTTTGCATGTTTTTGACTGGGGTTTCTCCTGTATAACACAGATGTTTGCCTTTTCCTTGCTCTTCCCCATTTGACACTCCATAGCTTTATTATTATTTTTTAATCCTGGAGTGGCACTCCTGGTTCAGAGCATCAACTGATAACAAACTGCTAAGGCTGTGAAGAAACTACACTATACTGGGGTGTGTTGTCCCACCTGCCTTTTGCACAGACCTGTTGAAAGTCCTGTTGGTGCCAGAGGTGAGGTGCTGGCCTGGATGATCCTCATCCCCAGTATTTCTGTGCTGCAGGTCCCTGTGGTGCAGGGGATTCCTCCTTAAATGAGTTGCTTGCTGTTGTGCAAGCAACTCATTTTGAAACATCAAGCTAACGAACTTTTCTCAAAGAAAGACAGTTCTTTTCTTTCTCTCATGGCTTGGAAGATGAGGCCTTCAAGTTCTGACAGCCATTCTGGTTTTCAATAGTCAGGGACCAGGCCTACTCTGTGGCATTTGCTAAGTCAAAAGGAACAGTCTTCATGTAAATGCTAGAGAGGAAAGAGTTGCTTTTCTTTTAACTGAGGAAAGAGGTAGGCCAGAAAACACAGACATCATTTTCCTAAGTATTTTAAGCCCCATCATGTCCCTTAGCATGTCTTTTGTGCCCTCTGGGAGGACAAGAGTGCCTGTTGCAGTTTGGGGACTGCTAAACTGGTAGGGGTGGTAATCATGGACAATGACAAATAGCCTTTGTGTGACTTTCTCACAGATCAGATGATTATTACTTTGGTTTAAATTTTGAGCTTTTTTTTTAAATATAATTTTGCTCTTTTGAAGTGGTTTTATTTGTTCCAGGTTGTTGTAATGCTACTAATTAATGTACATGCTGCTCTTTTCAAGCCTCTGACTGCTGCAGTGGGCTCAGCATTCACAACTGCAGCTCAGAACATAGCTGCTCTTTTCTGTGCTCTGGAAGCTGAGCTCAGATGTTTGGGTGGACTTTGCAGACTTTTGATTAAGTTCAACAATCAGCAAAGGTGCTGTGTGAGACTCAGTCAGAGAACAAGTTGGATCTCCAGCCATCCCTATGGATTTCATGGCCTGAGCTGCTGTTCAGTGTGTTTTGGTTCAGCTGACTAACTAGTCAGCTAGTTGTTGATGTTTGCTGAATCCTTCCTTGGGCTTTCCAACTGGAGACGTTTTCCTGGAATGCTCAGCTGCTCTAAGTGCGTGAGGGGAAGTATTCTAAATCCACTGGAATTTCCCCTGGGTTTCCAGCGTCCATCTTGGCTAATTGGGTCTGAAGAAGGTCTGGAAGCTATTGTAGGGCTGCTCCTCCTCTCAGCGTGCGGCAGTCCTTGCACAAGATGTTTACAGGCCCTGTCAGATCACTACATGAAGGAATCTAATCTGCTTGCCGTTCCCCTTCTGAAGAGCAGCACATCAAAGAGAGGACAGTGTGTTTGATGTGTGTGCTTGCCTCAGTGGGTGCATGTAACGGATTAGCAGCAGCTGGAGGAGGAGCCTGCTGCTTCCAAGAGTTAGACAAAAATAAGTCTCTGGGGATCTTTGTCTGGAGTCTGTGCTGCAGAGGCTGGTTGAGGGGACAGCATTGCCTGCCCTTGGAGCGTGAGGCCTCGGAGAGCTGATGCATTTCTGTCCCCCACTCTTGCCTGTCTGGCAGCTTTGTGGGCTGTTGTACATAGGAATGGTTGCAGTCTGAACACTCAGAGATAGCTTTGACAGTGACTTTTCACTAGTTCTCTGGTGTCATTCATTGGGTTCAGATTTTTTCCATACATTTTTAGAAGACTCTTCAAAGAGTTGCTTGGATTGAAGTGAAACGTAGGTTTGGAAAAGTGAATGAAACTATATTCTTTAAGTCAAACTGGCTCCCATGGGTCTTTGGTGAGGACATGGTTTCCATAGTCTGAAGCTTGAATGTAGTAGTTTGGGTGTTCTGGTGTGGCTGTCGTTTTCTGCACAGTGGGATTTGTTGTGGTGGCTGGGAGAGGTGTTCTGAAAGAGTGGTACCTTGGGATTGTAAACCCTTTGGGATGTGTTATAGCTGGTCTGGAAGTAGTTCTCAGGCCCTGACTTCCCTAAACCAGACATGACTATCAGGACTGGTTTTGCAGGTTGCTCTGTTTGGATTTGCTACCTCTGGGTGTCTTGATGACTCACCTTGTCCTGTACCACTGTGCTGTTGCAGGTTTTCAAGTTTTAGCCTTTTGATCAAGATGGGATATAAACTGCTACAATTAAACCAAAGAGAAGTCTCAGTTCTGGTCTGTGCTTACCAGGTTTGCTCCCCTACATCCTCCAGCTCGAAATCCTTGATCTTCTCTTGCTCTTGAGAACTACTCAAGGATTGAGTATCATAATTTTCCAGTGGCTCTCTGTCCTGAGTGACTTCTGGGTCCAGCTGTTTCAATTACGTGTTATTGTAGCTCAGTTTAGAATCTAAATGTAACTGTTCTTGATGAATTTGGGTGTGAAGACTTTGGTCTTCTGCTGGGCAAGCAGGTTGCTAAAGTGTGAAGGATTATTTCCTTGTTACCTGAACAGAAGTTATCTGTCCTAGGTGTAAGTGATGCACTAGATAGAAATAGTCTGAGTTCCTGCTTCAGTTTTGTGACACTTGAATGCCAAGTTGATCCATGTTTTGCAGATTTATTTAGGAGAAGGTGAGGCTATTCCTGCTACTGGGGAATCACAGATAATGCAGAGTAACGTTCAAAGTCAAAATATCTATCCAAAATGTCTAATTTCCAGTGAAAAATACTGGAATTTTTTTTTCAGGCTGCCAGGGTCCTGCAGGTTTTGGTTTCTCCTGTAAAGTTCACTGCAGGAACTAGAATCTGCTGGCTGAAGAGGCAGCTAAGTGGAAGTGTTCACATAACGCCGTAAATTAGTCATTTGTAAAGCTCCTCAGGAGTCCAGTAACAAACACTGGCATAGTCAGGCATAAAATAGCAAACTGACCTTGGGAACTGGCTCCAGAGGCCCAGGCAGTGAGCAAGGTTATGTTGTGTTCCTGGGCTGCCAGGTGGATTTCCTTAGCTGCTTTGCAGGGACGTGGTTTCTCTTCAAGTCACAGGTGGTGGGTGATGGTTTCCTGGTGGGGGTGAGTCGTGGGGGAAATCCATTCCCCCCAGAGAGCACTGAGATCAAGGGAGTTTACCATGAGGAGGAATTTCAGCTGTTTTGTGTTTGATGATAAAACAGCTGTTGCAGTGCACATGGTACATGCAGCTCCTTACCAAGGGATATCCTGGTGCAACTGCAGGGACAGGGAGCTTGGGACAGAATGTGCTAGCAAGAGCTACTGGGGAGTGGATGGAGAAGGGTAAACCTCATCAGTTCTCAACGTGTTGATGGGGAATATCCTGGGGCAATATCCTCACCTTTTGTGGCTTCCCCAGTGAGAGTTCAGCCAGGTATCTTTCCAAACCACCACTGTCTCGGCTAGTGCCATTGGTGTGCTTGGGGTGAGAAGCAAACTCTTCTCCTTAATCTCATGTTTTAGCACATTCTCAGCTGATTTCCATTTGAGTTTCACTGCTGAAGTGGAGACCAACATGAAAGGGTTTCTTCTGCTGTTGAATTTAATGCTCTCACTGATTTCAGTGCTTCAGCACTGGTTAATTCTTTAAGGCTTTTTACTTTTCTGCAGACATCTCAGGTTTTCTTGTTAAAAATGTCAATTCTTTTTTTTTTCCTTTTTGAAATCACATCATCTTGGCTGGATGAGAAGTGAGACTTCCTGTGACAGGCAGTGATTGCCTTTCCCTGTCCATATTCTGTGTTTGATCAAGTGAATATGTGATAAGGTTTTTCCTTTACTGGAATGCCTCAGAATTGCTTATCTAGAGGAGAATGGGAAGAATAGCATCTTGTCAAGAGTTGCATCTTACTGGTTTTTCCCTGTCTCAATGCTAAGGGTCCTTCACTTATGTCTTGCCCTGCACATGACCTGTCAGCAGTTTGCATCATTGCTAATATGTGTCCTATGTCACTGAAATGCTTAAGTATGGGTTGGTTTTCACTTTGTCTGCAGTGGCAGCTTTTCCTTTAGCTTTAGTTTGTCCCTGGTCTCTGAAATCTGAAAGCTCCTGCTGTTGCTTTTGCTGTTCTTTCTTCTTTTTGAAACTGTCTAATATGAAGACAGGCAAATTCCTTGTCCTCAGCTTGTTTGCTTTAGAGCAGTATTTCACTCTGTTTGTTGCTGTGCATATGTGGAAAAAAATGGACCTGTCCCCAGGAAAAGTACAGTCTAAACTGTAACAAAGCCTTTAACTTAGGTAAGGGATTCAAAAGAACAAGTATAATGAAGTCATGTTCCAGATTGGGTACTGAGGCACATGAAGTACTCAAACTTATCTAGTAAGAGGAACTAATTTCAAAATTAACTTGAATTATTTCTACTTTGCTTTTAAACTTTTAGGCTGTTTAAGGAAAAGTGAATGCATTGGAGCAAATTCTTTACCTAATGTCTAATAGTGATCCTGTGAACTGTGCAATGGTTATTGCTGGGGAGACATGGAGGAGAGTGTTGCCAGCTGATTTCACTTCGTGCCTAGCTCTGTGCTAGTTTTGGAGGAGTAGGCTGTCCTGCAGATGCTGCAGTGTTTTGCTCTTTCTTGCAGGGAGCTGATGGAACAGCACAGTGAATTCTCTCCAGTCTGTATTTACATGCGAGATGAGGTAAGGCAGCAAAGGCCTCTCAACTGTCTCTTCGCCTGTCCCTGAAAAATAAGAAAAACTTAGCTCTGCTTTCCAACCTGGAAAGTGTTTCTTTTGAACTTTTTTGAGAGGGGAAGTAGAAAAAATGTTGGTCTTTTCAAAGCATGACGTGTCTGTATGGAAAAAAGCTCTTTTGGAACGTAACCCTGGGCCGTTGAGACCTCTGAGCCCATAAAATGAGCTCAATGACCTGTTTGTGTTTTTCTTTCCAACTTCTTTTAAAGCTTGAGTCAAAACAGTGGTTTCATTTTAATAAATATTTGCTTTTCTCTGTGTTTTGATCTTTTGCTATTAATGTTTTGTTTAATATTTTGTATGTGCACATTACGGAATTCGCTCTCCCTAGCTGTCCCCTTCACTTCCCTCTGACCTCGGTGGACAGATCGTCTTTATTCTGGAACAGGTCATTACAGACAGATGGGAGGTGTGTGTAAGGAAATCGGCTGTCTTGCAGCTCAGAGATGTTGCCTGGCATTTAACTTCTGACATAAAAGTAGTGCTTTGCTGTAGTTGGATCCCATTTGGATGTGTGCATGGGACGAAAATATGTGTAGGTCATCTTCCCTTGAGGTCATTTAATAAGCTGTGAACTCGGACAGATGAATACAGATGGATTCAGGTCTCATTTCCAACTGCAGGAAGAGTGTGTTTTGAGCTGTATCTGGTGCATTTCTTTTGATACAGGCTTCTTTCTAGAAAGAGCTCTTTCCGTGTCCTCCCAGGGACGCAGTGACCATAATTCCTCCTTTCTGGTTTTGTTGCAGATCTCGGGGAAAGATGCCCTGGAGAAGACAACACTGAAGTCACTTGGCCTGACTGGAGGCAGTGCCATTGTCAGGTTGGAAAGAGCAAAATTTGGCCTCTTTATTTTTCCTTTCCACTCTGGTGATTATTTTGTTTCAAATACCCCCCCAAAAAAAGCACCAAAAAAAAAATTCAAAAGGACAAACATCACTGCATCCAGTAATTATTGCATTTGCCTGTTTATCTCAAACTGCTGCCCAGATGTGCTTCCCACAGCTGCAGATGCTGGCACTGACCAGTCATGTGCAGATTAAAAGAGCTTGTTTGTTTGTTTCTTTTTTTTTTTTCTTTTTCTCCTTTGAGTGGAACAGACAATTCAAAGTTAAAAGTCTCCCTGAGAGGGCAATCATCCACTGCTTCATTCTTCCCTGCTGTGGATCTCAGGCACTGAAGTCCCAGCCCCTGCAGTGCCTCCTGGCTGGTGGGGGGTGAGGTGGGGACAGGACAGCCTTTCTGTGATCATCTCCTGGCCAGCTCCTAGCGGTTTAGACAGAAGGCAGGAGTGATTAGAAGCTGTGCTTTACAACTGACTGCTGTTTTGCCCTGGAAGGCAGTTTTCTTCCTGTGGAGCAGGTAGTTCCTGTTCTGGTTTTTTGCACAACCCCCAGACCCCTTAGCCCTCACTTCACAAGGACTGGTGCTGTGCTCTGTGAGCAGGTTGTTAAATCAAGGGTGCCTTTGAGTCAGTCTCTGTGTTGTGGTCACGTTGAGTGGGGAGGGCAGTACTCTTAGGAGAATGATTCTATTTTTATTCATTTTGGTGTCTTCTTTAAGAGTTGTCATGAAGAAATGCAGTTCATCTGGTCAGGAGGAAGCTGTGAGTGCCACAGTGCCTTGTAATGAGCCAACAGTGAGGCCAGACCCTATGGAAGGAGCAGTGGATGTGTGCCTACCTCAAGCAAACACATTCCCAGAGGACTTGGACCACAGGGATGTGGCCATGTCTTTAAACAGCTGCACAGACAAGCAAGACTCGATTAGAGAACCTCATGCTAGCTCAGAGGAGCCTCGGCCTTCCTCAGAGCCTGAGCCTGCCCCATTTGTCCCTTTCGCTGGAGGTGGACAGCGCCTGGGGGACTCTTCTGTAGCTGCACCATCTTTGGGGTTAGATACACCACCTTCAAAACTGCCAACAACTTCTTCCAGCCCTGGAGGCCCTTCTAAGCCAAAGAAGTCTAAGAACAGCCAAGAACTGCAGAAGGAGCAAGAACAGGTAAGGGAAAACTTGTTTGCAATTTGGCCTTTTTTTTTTAATTCAGCCTTGCCTGAGGCTGAGCTCCTATGAGGAAAAAGTTGTTTCTGTATTTAAGACTTTTTTCCCCATGTTGCAGGATTAGGTGCCTTGGTGACATACAGTTCTTCCTGAGTTCAGTAAGGAGGTAGGAAATAGGAAGGATGTGAGTTTATGCATTTGCTGTCCAGAGGCAAGCAAAACTTTGAGCCTCTATCCTTGATGAATGGTTCAAACAGAGCCTACACAGCAGTAAATCACAGTCCAGGAGAGCCTAAACCTCTGTGTTTCAAATTTCATGCAGATTTCATGAACAAATTCCCACTTTGTCACCTGAGCCCTGGGTACTTGTTCTTCTCTTGACAATCTGCTGTGTAGTTTTGCTAAAGATGGGCAGAGTTTGTCTGTGACTTAATTTCCTTAGTATGCAGATGCAGCAGAAACCTTCCATCCTTTTGTTTCTCTACTTCTGCTTGCTTATGGAAATGTTTTCTGTATTCATCTAAAATATCCTGCTTCTTAAATTAAGTCTACCTCTCTCTAACCCTTTTCCCAGAAGGACGAATTGCACATCTCTTCATTGCTGGTGTCTCTGAAGTAAACCTGTGTTGGTTAAAGTTAAAAATCCTTGAGCCCATGTGGTGGTAGCAGAACTGATGGCTGAAGATTGCCATCCCAAGGTGACCTGGGAATGATGTGTGTTTTCTGTAGAGCAGCTGTATGGAGTTGAATGCCTTCAGCAAGGTGTGAAATGAAGCACGGGAGCCATTTAGTTAATAACTTACTCCTCGTTACTGTGCACTGGAGGTTTCACATCCTGGATCCTCAGTGACCAGTTTCTTGCCCCTTCACTGCACACATCATCACTGGGGCTGAATTGCGTGTTCAGAGATCCTCTTAATTGTTTTTGACTCTTTGGTACCTCCTAGAGTTGAAGGTTTGAATTCTCTGGTTCTGATCCAGCTAGGCTTGAACAATGGAAAGCTGTAAATAGAAAGGATAACTTAGGAGCTTCAAAGGAAGCTCAGTCCATGAGGAAATTTTTAAGACTGTGGATGCTTTCATGTTGATGTAGAGACTCTACCTTGGTTGACTTGTTTGTGGTTGCAGTCCATTCTTGATGAGTTTCTGGGTTGTTTAGGAACAGAAGCCAGACCCTGGAAGGACTCTGGAGCAGTTATGAACTGCATGAGTAGCAGAAAGAGGCCTTGTCAACCCAGTGGTGAACATTTTGGTATATTAGAAACATGCTTGGGTCCATGTGCTCAGTGTTATTTAAGCTTTTGGAACAGACCCTGGACACGGAGAACTAAACAGTAGGCTGGGTGATTTGTCCAGCCTCGTGTTGGTTTTTTCAGTCACACCCTCACCTATGAGGGATTTGGAAAGGAGGAGTTTCTGTTGTGTCTGGGAAGGGAGGGAGAAGCACAGGGCTTTGGTGGCATCCTTCACCAGTCTTGTTGCCCACATGTCTCTGGTGCCAGCTGGGAGGGCAGAACTCCTTTCAGCATTGACTTTACAGCCTGATGTGGGGCTGTGCTGCTGGGCACGGGCTGAGCTGTGGAGGCTGAAGGACTCTCAGGAACTGGCGCCTTGCTCAGGATCACAGTCCAGCTCAAACCACTCGGAGGCACTTCTGGAGCCAGCCGCCTTTCCATCTGAGAGCAGCTTTGGAAGCAGCTGCAGATTCTGTTGGGGGGTTCTGCCCTTGTGTTAAACAGCATGTGATTTTGACGGCTGCTTTCAAGCCCTTTGATCTCTGGTGCTTTTGCTGCTGATTGATTACATTTTGTTCCCTCCTCCATTCCTGCCATCCTCTGCTCTCCTTGCTCTCAGCGGCAACAGCCGAGCAGGGCTAGCCACATGGCATCTGCTTTTTGTCCCTTTTCAGTCCTGAGGAAAAAACCCAAAACAAAACAAATTATTTTTAAACATCAAAGGTCCATTTTTGTAAAAGAATCTTCCCATTAATGCTTTGCCTGTGTGTGGTTTTTGAAGCTGAAGAGAGAGGCTGGATAAAATCTGTGCCGGCGTCCCTTCGCTTCTTGGGCTAAAGATGGTTTACAGACAGCTGCGTGCTGACTTTGATGTCAGAACATTAATTATTAGAAGGTAACTTTGCACCAGATTCCCCATGAGATTAGAGCTCCCTGAGGTGGTTGGGGGACGTGGGTCTCTGGGGAGAGCTTGCTGCTGTGGAAAGCACAATAGCCACTACTTCATTTTAGATGAAATAAAAGTTTTCCTCAGCTTACCTGTTTCCTTGGGTCCAGGGTGGTGACCACTGAGAGAACTGCATTCCTCCTGACACCTGGCTTGGTTGCACAGACTGCACTTATGGAAATGCTGCTGTGGACATACAGCTTCAGCCTCATGAGAAAAGTGCCTGACATCTCAGCTTTGGTAGGAAAAGTAGAGACTTTGAAGAAGGAAAGTGCCAAACACAGCATCGTTGGCTTCTGGAAGGTCTCTCTGACAGAAACAGGACAGTAAAATGCACAGCTTGCTTTCCTCCAGGTGACATAATGGAAGGTAGAACATCCATGTGGTGGCTGTTTATCATTACAGGAGGTGGTCACCTTTTGTCATGGCTGCAGATAACACTGGATGTGCAGTGGGCTGGGAAGTGAGTTGGTGTTCCTGGAGCCTCTTCTGTAATCATCATGAGATGTTTTTGGATTCTGTCTGCACTTTTGGATTGTTGGAACCCACAGCAAGGAAGAGGAATGAACACTTAGAGCTGGAATATATGTCTGCCTTCTGCCACCTTGTGATTCCCAATGTCTTGGTGGAAGTTTGTAGCTGTCACGTTGGTTTGGGCAGGGTCTGGCCCTTTCCCTGCGGAATTCCACTGCTGTTGGGATGAGCTAAAGTGCTTGTTAGGGCCGATGCTAAATGGTAACTATAGGATTTGCTAATGTAGACTTTGGAGTTCTCACTTTCCTATCCCAGCACCCTTCACCACATGGGATATGCCTCCTCAGGCTTTTGGGTTCGGGGTCTTTTTGGAAGAAGTCTGTTTTCAGTACATGTTTAGAGTAAAATGAAACTTCAGCCAGTTTGGGGAGATTGGGGAGGCCTGATTAATTCTTCTCTGGCACAAATCTGCCCTCACTGGGGCTGTGGTGGGCAGTGGGTGGATCTATGGTGCAGCAGGATCCTTCCCAGGGGGTAGCCCTGGGTGCTCGGGGTCCCTCCTGCAGCACTGGGCACCCCCCTGCCCCGTGCCCCAGGAAAGCTGCAATCAGGCTCCTTCACCCACTAGTTAGGGCTGACCCTGCTCAACTTTCTAAAAGTAGCCAAGGGTCCCACCCACACAACCTCGCTCTTTTAATTTCTCAAATTACCCTTTAGTGCCCACAAGCAGAGTGAACATTGCCTTGTAATTTGTGTTGTGCTTTTGACAATTGAGGAGACTCTTGTTCCCAAGGGGCCAGTGCCCCGGGGAAGGGAGAGTGGATGGAGGGAGGACACTTGGGCGTTAATTAGTACTGGAAAGAAGGAATAAGGGGAGAAGAAATGGGCAGCGGGTTCGTTCACAGCCTGCAGCCCTGTCGGCCTGGCAGCTCGCTGGGGAGAAACGCTGGATTCACTACTGAAGTTTTTGTTCCCATGGCCCTTTCAACAGTTTTGGGACTTAGAAAGTTTGACTTTTTTGAGAGCCATGAGGTGTAACTGTCTCTCATGTGCTGGACTCCAGTTGTGGTCTGTATTCACACACAAGCACAGCTGCTGCTTTGGGTGCAAGAGAGAGCAGCCAGCACCTAACTAACCTTTCCTGGGAGGGATCCATAATGTCCTGCTGTCTGCAGAGACAGCAATGCTCTTGGTCTAACTGGTTGGAGTGGATTGAGGCTTTAGGTTGGTTTTTTTTTTTGGTTGTTGTGTCTTGAGGTTGGGATTTTTTGTTGCTTTGCTTTTTCATACCTGTAACCGCAGCTGTAGAGTAGGTCAGAGCTGTGCTGCAAGGTTTGTCACTGTGACATCAGCTCTGGGCTCTGGAGGCTGTGGAGCAAAGAGCCAGGCTGCCTGTGCCCAGCTGGGCAGGTGAGGGGGTGTCTGTATGTGGCTTGGGATGCCTGTCCTCAGCCTCTGGGGAGTAGAGGAAGTTGCCAGTAAATGTATTAAGTACCTTTATTGCAGCTGATGCCTACAGAGAACTGCTGCCCACAGTGTCCTTTCGCTGCAGCAAAGGCTGATTTCAGTGCAAAGTACTTTGTAAGTGCAAAACAAGAGAGTTTTGCTTAAGGGAAACACCAGAAACCAGGTTAAGAATTGGAAAGGTGTACAATGAAGCCCTGTAGTGGCTCAGTTCAGAGAGCTTGAACAGCTCAAAAACTGCCTTACCAAAGCAAAAGATTGCTCCCTGGAGTAAGGAGAAATGGAGTGAGCCCTGGCTGGGAAACTAGTGCTGTTGGCTCTGTGGCAAGGGAATGTGAAGCAAAGAGAACACAAGACATGATGTGAGCCAGGAGTGTGTGGCAGATGGAAAACTTCAAAAGGCACTGTAGTCTGTCGAACGAGGGATAGCACCTGTATAAGTTGAGAGCTGCTTGTAGAGGGGGAAGGAAATGGTTACGTACTGAGAGAAGTTTGGAGAAGAGCAGAGGGAGGCTGGGTATGGTTTTGGGATAGGAGTAATTTCTGAGTACTTGTAACAAGCTTGTAACTAGCTAGTAGTGTGGTTCGGCTGCAAAATACCATTGTACTGTAAGTGAAGAGATTCCACAGGCATTCCCTGGAAAGGACTTTTCTCTCCTTACCTTGTGTGACTGCTGAGGTTATTACCCTGGGCTTCCTGTACTGCCTGTGGAGAGCAGCTAACCTGGCAATAGAGATCCTTGCCTGCTGCTGGGGGGATTGTGCCCAAAGCTGTGCCAGCTATAAAGAATGACGACACTAACCACCTCTGCATCATTAGTCTGATCTTAGTGACAGGAATTTCACACTAGTGATTGCATTTCAGTTTGCAAATATTGTCCTTTCACTTTGTTTCAGGAACCTTACAGCATGAGCAAAGCAATGCAATTCAAACTATTTTATTTTGTAGCTTGTAGAACGAGAGCCACTCGTGTGTCACCTAGACCTACTGGAACCACTTCCTGATGGTCCAGAAGAGCTTCCTGATGAGTTTTTTGAAGTCACAGTGGATGATGTACGGAAACGTTTGGCACAGCTGCAGAGTGAGAGGCAAGTTCCCCTTCTGCTGTGAGTGAGGTGGTGCTGAGCAGAGTGACAGTGACTAGCAGAGCTTGTTGCATTTCCAGCCAGTAAGAAACATCTTGTATTTGAAGTAACAGAACTCTTGTGCCAGCATTGTTTTTCAGCTTCAGTAGTTCTTCTCCCTCCCTGGAGTAGTCACATCGTACTTTCGACTCTGCTTTATTGGATTAATAAGTCCATCTCTTCTTGAGTAGTCTAAGCAAACTTTCCTCTCCTCTTAGTATCTTTTCTGGCATCTGCTGTGGTGAACCTATTTTTAAACTTGTACTTTAGAAGTAATTTTATACAGTATTGTTGCTGATGCTCAGTCATTTCATATATGAGATTTTTGGATAGGAACTACAGGACATGAGGAAAATGCTGTGAGAGATGCATGAAACAGCTGAGCAGTTCTCATCAGCCCTGCTTGGACCTTTCCCTATCTTAATAAAGTAAAACTACATTGTAAAGTTACCGAAGTGACAACTTGTCTCCTTCCTGTGTCTGTAGGAAACGCTTGGAAGAAGCTCCACTGATGACAAAGTCTTTGAGGGAGTCTCAGCTGAAGGAGAAATTGGAGCGTTACCCAAAGGTAATCATTGTTCTTTCCCCAGTCCCTCTGGCTAGCCCAGACTTGCGGCCTGAGTAACTTTGGAATTCAGTTGTTATGGACAAGCTCTTAAGCTACTTATAGGATGACTTTTCAAATTCTTGTCCCTGTTAGTTGTGGGACTTGGATAGCAGTTGTGCCATGTGAAATCAGCTGTGTTGTAATAACCTGGTTCAGGAACAGGCAGCACAGCTCCTTCTTTTCTGTTCCAGATGTTTCAAAACCTTTGTCATGCACGCATCAGTCTGTGTGACTGAGCTTTCCTACCTGCCTCTCCTGTGGGCATTTTGTTAGTATCTCATTGAAAGTTAAATGATTCAATGTTACATATTGGGTTTATTTTGCTCTGTAAATATCATCCTAATGCAATTACCAAGTTAAATGCTTTCTGACCAATGCTGGCAATGAAATGGTCTTTCAAAACCTTTGTCATGCACGCATCAGTCTGTGTGACTGAGCTTTCCTACCTGCCTCTCCTGTGGGCATTTTGTTAGTATCTCATTGAAAGTTAAATGATTCAATGTTACATATTGGGTTTATTTTGCTCTGTAAATATCATCCTAATGCAATTACCAAGTTAAATGCTTTCTGACCAATGCTGGCAATGAAATGGTCTACTTCACTTAAGAGGTTCCTGCTGCTGTGGACACCTTGGGATGCTGGTCCAGTGTCTGTACCTGTCCACAAGGCACTGTCCACATTGTCTGTGCATCATTTAGCACAGGGAGCTCCTACTCTTTGAGTGGGTGTTGCTGCATTGCACATCCCAGTGCTTTGATAGATGAGCTCTCTTGGCCCTTTGAAAGCCAAACAGTCTCTATTCCCTGAGGAGCAGCACAGCACTGTTAGCCAGGATGCTCTTCTACTCTGTCAATACCTCAGATCTCCCCACTTAAAAAATATTTGCAGATTCTAAGCCAAGGACAAGTGTTAGAGAGGAGCTATTAACCACTGACCTCATGTGCTTTGCCTTGGGTTTAGGTGGTGTTGAGAGTTCATTTTCCAGACCGCCACGTGCTGCAGGGCTTCTTCCATCCCAGTGAAACTGGTAAGAGTGATCCCCTCGGCCTGTGCAGCTGCTGCCACAGCTCTCACCGTGGTGGGAGAGAGTGGCTCTGGACAGGTCTTTCTGCTGGCCAGGGAAGTAAAGCTGCTCTGAAAAAGCAGCAGTAGGTAGTTACATTGTCCTTTTCAGGTGCCTGAGCGGAGTAAGAAGAGAGTCTGGGCTAATTAGCTTCACTAAGAGGAGTTTGTTTTCAGGACTACTTGGTGGAGATTGTCAGGCTGCTTCATGGCAAAAGCCTTGTACTCAGGAAGCTATCCCACTTGTTGTCCCCTTGTTTGTGTGCAAGTGATGTGTTACTGGGATGCATTTGTCCACTTCCTCTGTGTTAACACTTAGAGCGTTTTGGGGTAAAGCAACACCCCCATCCCCAATCCAAAACAAACCCAAAAAACCCAGAAGAAACAGCGTTACCTCCTGTACTAAGAGGGGATGAACATTTCTGGCTCTTGTCAGTTCACAGAAGGTGATCAGACCAAGTAGCTCTTACTGTTATTACTGGAGATCCCCTTATTCTCTTCTGGCAGCCACAGCTACCTGCACAATCTTCTTGATAATTTTGTGTGGAACACAAACTGATAACTGGTTAGTCTCACCTGGCTGCTCTCTGTAGCTGCTGTTGGATTTCCTGGGCGTCCTTAGATTTTGCTAAAGGACCAGCATGTTGAAATGGTTTGTTTGTTTGTTTTGTTTGTTTGTTTTCTTTCAACAAGATATTTGTAATAGCAACAGTGTAGTTTGGGGGAAAACTCTCCAGACATTGTAGAGTGCAGTTCTGCTGTTACAGGTTAGCCTTTTTGCCCAACATTTGAAGAAGCGAATGAAATTCAGCAAATATTTCTCTCCTTTCTCCACAGTTGGCATTTTGAGAGACTTTGTGAGAAGCCACCTCGCCGATGCGGATTTGCCATTTTACTTGTGTAAGTGCTGTTGGTAATATTTGGCCTTACTTTACAGAGCTTGTTCCTAGCTGTGGTACAGATGGGATGTGTTGATGCCTGAGGTATGGCCTGGGGAGGAATATCTTCCCTAAACACAGCCTCACAGTGCAAAGGAGGTGTAACCTGCTCCCTTAGCCATGTTTTGCTTCTGCCTAAGCAGGAGCCTCTGTGGGCAGGTGAATGTGTCACCCCTTCAGAGAGCAGTGATCCCTCCCATACCTGCTGTATTTGTTGTGCTGGTTGCTGTGTGGTCCTCTTTTGTAACTTGTTTCTTAACTTCAGTTGTTGCACCTCCCAGAATCATCTTGAACGATGAAAACCTGACACTGTTTGAGGTAAGGACTCACACATGTGCTCTGTGATTCTCTCTGGCTTGTGCTCCCCTTAGCCCTGCCTCAGGATTTAGTGCTTTGCAAAGAAGTTTTGTAGTGCAGTGATCCCTGTCGACTTCTGCGCAGCCGAGGCGAGTGGAACCAGGTGTTTTGGAGCACGAGCTCTTGACCAGAAGAGGTCCACCTTGTGCAGCAATAGGCACAGACACACTGGGGCAGGGGTGAGGGTTTGCATTGTTTGTGCACACACTCTGTGCCCTGCAGGGTCTGAGCTGTGTTTAACCTGCAGTCCTGACTGCAGGAGCTGAGCTGAGGGGAGTTCCTCCCTCTGTAGCTGCACTAGGGCAGTAAGAGATGTGAGACTGGATGTGGGAACTGTTTTCAAGACCAAAATCTGACCTGTTTGAAACCACTGTGTGAGAATTTATTTTAAGCCAGTGTGTACACTGAGGATTATACACTCTCTAGATGTAATTCTTCTCAAGAGCTGAAATACAAATTTTCAAATTCAGATTCCTGGAGATTTTTTGCAAGTGTCAAATAAGGTGGTCTTGAAGTCCCTGGGCAGACACTCTTGGCTGTGTAAATCACACGTGTTAAGAGAGTGATTGAGTGATTTTGCCCGTGACTTTGTCCCAGACTCACCCTGTATAAAATGTGCTGTCATTCAGAACTGCATGGACCTTTCCAGACCGATGCACTGCAGATCCTGCGGAGTAAAGGCTCATGCAGCTGCAGAGAGAATTCTTGCTTGATGCCCCCGAGGGAGCAGAAGGGCTGGAGTGGGGAGAGGGATAGAGAAAGGGACTTTTCAGGCAGCATGGTGAATTAGGTAGGGATTAGCATGCCTCTGAAGTTGTTTGTAATGGAGCTTTCCAAGTTCCACAATTTCCTGGCTTGGCCATGTGGAAGAGATACACGTGCAGCTGCTTTTAGGCTATTGAATGTTCAGACCTGTATCTGCCTCCTGTTCCTCCAGCCTCTGATGCTGGCACTGGCCTCCCTTGTTAGCTTTGGTCTGTCTTCTGAAAAGTCTGAAATCCTCTGCTTACCTCTGTTCACCCCTTGCCTGCCTCCCCCTCCCTGCAGTTCTGTTCTTTCATTTTCTCGTTTTCAGCACATCTCGTGTTTCTCTGGACATCTTCTGAAACATGACTTGTTCAGTGAAACACCACAGCAGAAATGACATCTCCTTGCCTTTGAATTAAGAAACTTTATGGCAGGAGTTTTGTTTAATCTGCTGCGTCAAAGCCTTTGTTCCATACCTGGCACCACTGCTGGGCCTTGTTATATGTGTGGCAGTTTCCCAGGTATCAAGCATTTCCAGTCTGTAGTGGCTTTCCTTGGACTGCAGTGCTTGCTGTGGCACATGGCAAAGGGGCAAAGCCTTGACGTTGGTACAGAACTGGGACTGTTTGAAATACTATGCTCTGTGAAAATTTTCTGCAAATTGGCTGTTTTAAGGAAGTTTTTCTTCTCAATTCTCACATCCCCTCTGTGAACACAAAAGAATAATGTCTAATTAAGATAAAGGGTGTCAAGCCCAAGGTTGATTTAAGATATGTTTTTATTCATGCCACATGTAGTCACAGTATAGTCAAATCAATCTAATTAAGAAGTAGTTGTGTTGAGAATTTTGGTGTAATTAAAATAAAATGGAGGTTTTAAGCACTATCTTAACTATCCAGAATCATTACAATTGTGTGCAAAATGTGGAAAGAAAGTCAAATCTCATGCTTAGAATATTTTTAGGGATTGTAATGTGATATTATGAAGAGATTATTATCACATTACTTAACAGTTGCATGACTTGGCATTTTCATCTTACCTAGCTGGCTCAGCATAGGTAAAAGTGATGCATATGCAGGGAAAATAATTTGAGCTTCATACGCAGCCCAGTTAGATCCTGCATTGATCATTACTGCTGTGGACCAAAGTCTTACAGTGATGAAATCATCAGCTCATTACTGAGTAGCAGTCAAATCCAAAATGACCTTCTTTCCAAATGCAAAGTATTCAGAACAAACTGGAGAACATCACTGTGTGTGGACCCAGGGTTTGTGTGAATAATGTGCAGATCTGGTCTTGCATCTTCAAAAGGAACTGGTGAAGGTGCAGAGGAAAATGAGGATCATCAGAGGTCTGGAATGGCTCCTGCCTAAAGAAAGACTCAGTAGGCTAAGACTTCTCAGTCTGCAAAAGAGGTGACTGGGAAAGGAGTAACATGCCAAAGAGAAGCTGGAAAGGGTGGAGTTCTTGCTCTTGAGTGGCATCAAGTGAGGCAAGCAGGAGCTGGAATAGATGGAAGAAGGTAGTTCATGCATCAGAAAACTGAAGTGTGGAAGTCCTTGTCACAGGTGTATACTAGAAGTTATATACTGGTTCAAGAGAAGTTTGGACAAGTTCAAGGAAGATATTTACTTAGAGTGTCTTAATATATAGAAACCATCTCAGGAGTCTTCTGAACTGAAAATCATTGCTAGCTAATAGTAATAGAGTAAAGTATTACATGTAAGCTAGTATCCTCTTCTCTGTGCATCTGTTTTTTGTTCACTGTTGGAGCCAGGATACTGGCTGCATTGAACAGACTTGTGCCTATGGTTCTGTCCTTGGAAGAGCTGTGTTCAGTGCCACTGGCCATGTAGTCTGTGTCCCTTGCTTGGGGCCCTTCAGGCCTTTCAGGTCGTGGTCTGTTATGGCAGGAATGACTCTGTGTTTATAAACATTTTGTTTGGACGTAGCATCAAACAGGGAAAAACCAATTCCTGCCAAGAACTTGTCGTGCCATTCTGGATACCTGAAGTACTGTCAGAGACCACAGAGCTCTGACCTGTGAGGACAGTGCCTTATCCCAGTTTGGGTTGGCTAATTCTGGGTGAAGCTTTGCTCCCATTACCGCTGTAAATCCTTTTTCCTCTAACCTTTGCCACGTCAGTGCATGCCCTGTGCGGCAGTGTCTCCTGCTCGGGCAGGCTTTGCCCTCTGATGAGGTCTGGGTGCCTGGCAGGGGCTGAAGGGCTTTTCTTCTCTAGACAGAAACAGGCGTGCAAGTCGCTCTGGCTGTCACGTCCCTTCCCACTGTGTCCCTGCCCACTGTGTTGCTGTGGGATGCTCTGTTTAGAGGCAGACTGCTGTGCCTGGCCGTGTCCTGGATGGGTTAGGCTCTGTACAGGTTGGTTGTGTGGAGACCTCTCCCCCTTCAGGCATCCTGTGGTCTGTGGAAGGGAAACGTTTTGTGCTTTGGTCAGAGCTCCCCTTCTGTTCCCTGAAGGAATGAGATGAAAAGACAAAGGTGCTCTGTAAAGATAGGAGGCAAATGGTTAAGGTACTTTGTAAAATATGTGGCTTTGGGGCTGGGGAAAGAGGAGCTTTTGCTCTAATGTCACCTGGCAGCATCTAGCATCCCTGTAGTGAGAAAACTTGCTCTGGATTAACACCGTGTTGTGGTACATAGGATGTGAACATGAGTGAAGTGACTGTGGAGCATGTGGTTCTCCCAGACATCCTAAGGAAAAGGGAGCACAGGTAAAATAACAGAACAGCTAATTGCTCAAGCTTTTTGATACATCTTTGTTGGTTTTGGAGGATGTGTGAAAGGTTCAGGAGGAAGTTTGGCTTTATCAGTAGTACATCTCTTTAAGGTTGTCAGGTTGTGTCATGTAACTGCCAAAATTTGCTGCTTTTGCCCCAAGTGCTGCATGTCAGTCATGTTAGCAGTGACTGCCTGGGAGGTACCTAATGTGGTTCCCTTGCAGAGCTGCCTGCACATAACCTGACTTTTAATTTTTCCAAAACAGGTACTACCATGGTGTATCTAGCCACTTTGGATTTTCTTTCAGCATTTAGTTTTCACACTACACCAGGTCCTGAGTTAGCAGTAGGCTGACCTCCACTCTGCAGACTGCCTTAGTGCTATCTGTAGGGAACAGTGGATGGTGTCTGAGGCAGTAATGCAAGCACATTTGAGCACTCAAATATTTATAAATTACTGAACTTTGTGCTAAAGCCAATAACAGGAGTCACTGCAGATGGTGGAGTACCATATTATCAATACTTTGCTCTCTCCACCCTCTCACTCCATTCAAGGTGATATGATTGGCACCACGTTCATTGAATTCAATTGCAGGCAAAACCAGGAAAAAAGACAAATGTTGTCGACTTGTTTGCCAAGGTACTTGGACCGAAAGAACTGTCTGAAGTGAATTCCCCCCAAATCTGTGTGTATTTACAGTATAGCGAACACACAGATTGGCAGCAACGTGGAGTTTTTGGAACCCATAAAGACTTCAAGGCATTGCTTTGATTTTTTTGTTGTTGCTGTTTTTGCTGGCTGCCTTCTCCTCATGTCCCTTGAAGTGTTTTATAATGTTCTGCTCTCCAGAGCTGATCAACCACAGGCTTCCCTGTTGTAGCACTTGGCTTTGGGTGCCTTATAGCTCTAGTGGCTTGTTTGTGTTTTTCTAGGCTAGCTGAGCTTTTCAGAGTTGCTTCTTTCTCCTCCCAGAAATGGGCACTTGTGTGGTGTGTATCTGGGGTGTGTCAGTGGAAAAAAATCATTGATTGCTGAGTTAATACTAGGAAAGAGTTAGCAGAAAGCAGGGGAACCAGCCACTGGAAAAGTCTAGGCAGCCATCGTCTGTCTTCAGAGGAGCTAGAGGAATCCACAGGCTTCCACATAAATATTTAGGTCTTCTAATCAGATCTTAGAGTGCACCGAGTGTTTCCTCTGGCATGTACCTTGAGGCAGAAATCCAGAGGAGCTGTTTGTTCCTTTCTTTGCCTTTGGTTCTGGTTCCACATCCTATTTGTTAATGCCAGTTTGGGCAGTACATCTGGCATGCTCATTCTGGGAACTCAACTACGACTCGGCAGTGTGAAACTTTCTCTGCTTTTGGCAAGAGTCTGAGAGCAATTTCAGAAAAAATTACTTCATCAGAGCACTTCCAATGTCAGGCCTTGTGGCTGTTGTACTCACTAGCAAAGAAAATCGCAATTAGTAGAGC